ATAGAGGTGAACAAACAAGATTCCTGGGAATTTGGACAGGCAACCAAAAAACAGCGATAGAGCTGAAAGAAAGAGTCGCTAATGTAACCCTAAAATTCCTGTAAAATTTTTGCAAGAAAAGTCCGTGAAATGCTCAAAAATTTATAATTTTTGCAGTCTAGTGCAGAGCTTCATGAAAGCCTGTCGTTGCCCTCTTCTTTCGTACCAGAAGTTTCGCGGTATTTTGTGGAAAGTTGGGGAAATCGAAAAAGGATCGATTACGGTACCGGACACGAGGCCAATTTTATAGCGTGGCTGTGAGTATGCATTATTATCTCGCGTTTATTTGATAGCTCTTTTTAATGATTTAATTTGGTTTAGACTATGCCTAGAAAAGTTGGGGTTGATAGGACCTGATGATTATAGTGCCGTGGTACTAAGGGTCTTTCAAAAGTAGGTTTCTATTCTTATCATGACGCAGCTCCTTAATCGATTATTAAGATATACCTGTTGACGAAAGATATATAGAAGTAATGCGGAACCTTCAATTTAATTATTGGCTTGAACCAGCAGGATCTCACGGGGTATGGGGACTGGATGATTATCACTTTCTACCTTTTATGTTTGGGTCCGCTCAATTGATAGGTACGACGGATATGATTGGTTAAAAAGTCACCTTGGGCAATGTTTATTCACACCATGTGAGCTTTCCAGGTCACAAATACATTCGTCCAAAGTCCATTCATGACAAGGATATTGTGGATGAGTATTCAAAGGAATACATGTATTTGGCCTGCATCAAATTCATCAATTCAGTAAGCACATTGATCTTTATTCAAAGATTTTGGTAGTAAATTTTGGGAAAGACCATATAATCAATAAAATATTACCATTGATGTAGGTTAAAACTGCATCTCTTCGTTGGAATTCACCAATGTTAGACGATATATCTGGTAAACTCTTTAAGTTTATGGAGTTTAATTTATATGTAACTAACTATCGGTAATCTTCCTATTATTGTAGGTGTTCGCGAATGGAAAAAAGTTAATGAGGGAATGCTCAAAATGTACAAAGGGGAAGTTCTTGCGAAACTGCCAATCATGCAACATTTCATGTTCGGATCCCTAATATATTTTGAGGGAAGCGCGGAATCGGTCGGTGATGATGATGATGACGATGATCACGAACACGTTCACGCCTTTGGACAGGAATTTCCAAGTTGTTGTGGCATAAAAATTCCAAGCGCCATTGGGGCGAGTCAGATGAACGTTAAGGAAGGTTGTGCTAGGAGGCTACCGTTCGACTAGTTACTTGGTTATTTTGCCATCAAACATCAATTGATATGATAACCCGTTAGCATCAAATCATAATAAAATTAATTTTGTATAGCCCCAATGGCAGTATTAATAACATTGGCCATTAGCAAATTCTTAACAAAGAATTATAACAAAAAATTTACAAATTAAATTTTTATATTACTTTGTTTCAATGAATGGAAAGGGTTTTAAAAATGAGAAAATGCATTGTAAAATAAACAAGCCAACATTATTGAAAATTGGATTTCTAAGCTTGAACCCAAATTTTAAAGACAAATATTCGACGAGAGGGCAGCACAAAGGTTTTTAACATTGATCGAATCATGGAACAAAGTAGCACCTAGTCAAAGGAATCGTATTTAAAGTTAAGCTCATTGGTTTAATGCATAATGTGCATAATGTGGTAGGTTAAAAAAATTTTTTTTAATTCCGAGATTTGGAAATTTGCAGTATATACATCATATATCTATATTTTAATCATAATAATACTTCCGCATGGAATTATTCATTTTAAATAAAGAAAAAATAATTTTATTGGTTTTTTAAAATAAATTGATATTTCCCAGTCAAAATTTTTAAGAACTCGTTCGTCATAATTAGTTTATTCAAAAGCAAACAAGCATTTGACTGCGTTCACAAAAATACAGACATGATTCATTTCATAGAAACTAAAGAAGAAGCGCAAATACTACGTGTGACTTCAAATGAAATTTTAAAAAACTCTAGTGCCCATGTGTTTCTAGGCAATCTGGTTGAGTCTGATCCTACAAATGATGCATTCAAGTTGGTCAATCTCGTTGGCACTTCACAATACACAGCACGCAAAACTACCTTTGTTCGACTTGAGTAATTTTTGGTTGCAAACATTTCGTTCGGAAACTGAGGGCAGATTGCAAATCCGAAAATTCCTAGACAAACAAGCATAAGAAAGGGGCAGGTGCGAATAAACAATCATTAATTAATTACCCTTGGTGTGAGTATGAGTTCGGAAGTAAACGAATCTTTATATAATATGGAGTCCAAGGTGCTTTCGACCTCCTCGCTGTGAGAATTGTAAATAAAAAAAGGTCGTAAGCAATTTAAAAAGGTGTCCACGCTGAAGACAAAGTACACAAGCGAACCTGGATTTTATAAATTCCTGTTGTGCTCTTAACTCCTCTTCCATCTTATCCCGTGCGTTAGTTCTTGCTTGCTCAAGTAAAATCAATTTTTCCTTTACCGACTCATATGTAACAAAAGTTGAGGATCTTCTTCCCCTCGAGAAATTTTTGGAGGTGGACGCTCTTACTTTTAAGAATAAGGGAGGGGGTTCAATGTTTATTTTTTTCTTTCAAAAAGAGGTAAGCATAAAATTAAGTTTACAGATGTCCAGGTTCATCAATCCTCTCATTGAAAGTATCATATTATCGGCGCTTTCCACCACGGTCCTTCCAATCTTTGAATCTACGAAATCTGACGCAGACATGAGCCCCTACGTGGATGTTCGTGTGGTTAATCTTATGCAAAGATTACAAACAAACACAATAATAGTCTGAATTGAATGCGCTTGTTTACCATTCGACTACTGATACCCTCGGCACGTCGTTTCAGCTCATTGGTGACACCAGTTAACAATCTATGAACCTCCTTATGATCATCCAGTTCAATATTAAAAGCTTGATAAATGAGTTGAAGGCGCGCGTACTGAGTAGACAAGAGATCTATGGCCTACAAAATTGCGAGATGCAATTTAGGAAAAAAAAATTGTGATAGATAAGGGAACACAGTGTAGCAACATGCCAGATCCATTCGATCTATGAATGATTCCTGATATTTCGATTGGATGTTGTAATCAGCCATCAGGATTGGCCTTTCAATCTCCAACTCGGCGAGAATATTTAGGTAATCCTTCACTTTCGGAATAATATCAGACTCGATATTCTGATTCGCCAGAGCAATGCTGTTCTCATATTGTTCATACCTTAATCTACAAGGGAGTATAAAGATCCTGAAAATAAAGTTGTAATTAGAATTAAAATAATTAAAATACGACACTTACGTTAGATCGTTGACGTTTATCACGATCGATTCTAGTCTCGAGACTTCATCTTCCAACGTTTTTAAGTAAGTGACCCAATATTCGTGATTGGACACGACTTGTATATACTTGCACTCCGAATTTGGATACCTGAAACCACATTCCGCAGTAAATATCAGGGCCAAATGAAGAATCCAACCAAACTATGATTCCACAAAAGCGTTTTACAGATTTTTCAGCCGTTCGATTTCTTCGTCCAACTCTTTTGGATCAAACAATTCACCGGCGTTCTATTATAATTGGGGGTTGTTGTTTAGTCAAAATAATAAATCGATTTGGTATGACACTTTTACTGGATTTTTCTCTCACCCATGAAAAAAGGTTATCGCACAATTTTTGAAGCTCACACGTAAAGATGTGATCTGTCCTAATCACTTCGCGGATTTCATTTGTGCACTGTGATAAGAAGTTTTGATTCGATTTTGCTGTATGAATTTCGAAAGATTAGATTGTGTGTGATTGCAATGATGAATTCTTAATTAAATTCGAGAGATCAAACCATTGTTCTCTTTCGTCGTCCTTTCAGAAATGACACCAGATATTGTACCGATCAAGGCAACTGTGTTCGCATCGAGCTGCCGACAGGAAACAAAATAATAAAATGTAATTCGACCTTTTTCAGGGGAGATAAAAACTGCCGATATTTATGTGAATAAAACCTTGACAGAGTCGTCTTCAACCAATCTATCAACATCCTTATTCTTGTCGTCCAGTTCGTGGCTGATTCTTTTCAAGTTCGCAAGCTGCTCTTCCAAATCTTTCAAGGTCAATCTGCCATAAGACGCGTGAATCCCGGATTCATTTAAGTTGCGGTGTGGGTGTCACATAATAAGCTTGCTTACCTGAGTTGATCGCGATGTGCGATCACATGACTTTGCCTTTTTTGTAAAGTCATTATTTCTTTTTCTACATTTTCGTGTTCGCCCCTGCAAACATTTAATTTAACTCAAATTTGGCGAAATCGGAGGGCAAGTGAAGATGTGCCGAACGTACTTACTTTATCTTCTCGAATTCGAATGTATCACTTGCATATGTAATGAAGATCATGCCTTAGACTTGGTAAAAAAAAATGGTAAAAACGGAAGGGCAAGTGGGCACCAAAATATGCAGCTTACAGGCCACCCTCGTTGTCACCGATATAATTTTTCTCGACATCAATGTTTTCGCATAACCAATCAAGCAAATAGGATGTTTCTTCATTTTCATATGCCCACAATATTTGTTCCGGTTGTAGCGTTGAAGCGTTGGAATACTCTAATCGAGTCAAAAAATTTATGAAATTTTTGGCGGAACGGAGTTTCGAACTGGTTTCGGAAGGGATGGAAAACATCTCGAATTCTTAAAAATTTTTCGGGTCGCGTTTGGACCGTAACTTATATCACATGATCATCATCATGACCTATCTGCAAAAACGTGTCGTCAACTCTGGTGGAAATCTTTTTTTCCTATAATCATTGGCACTAGTACATATTAGTAAGTAACCCTGTTTCAACTTTTACGTCATGTTTTACTGTGCGTGAAACCACAATGCAATGCAGCACAGTACACACCCATAATGATAAAATCACCGCCAACCACTCACCCTATCCCTCTGAAGACGACATGAAGTTAACCGGTCGTTTAAGCTTGCTACCGATATTTATCCTCCTTTTCATACTTTCTCCACCGTCCCTTCTTTTCGATTCTTTAAGGTCTCCCCAGGCACGCTCGGATTTTGCCGAGGCCACAAAGACCATTATAGATGTTCTTAGCAGCGATGAACGTTTTACCAAACTAATTCAAAGTCTACAAAGGACTCAACTCATTTACTATGTAAACCACTTGAAATCTGTCACCTTTTTTGCCCCTGTAAACGAGGCATTTGAAAACCCCTTTATAACCAAAGAAACCATGCTTTATCATATTTGTCAGCAAGAGATCAAAGGCGAAGAACTGTACGACGGACAACTTTTGACGACTCTGTACAAGATATCCGATAAGCTCGGAGAAGGTGAGATAGGTCAAAAGGAAAGAGTCGATTTTTCCGATGGAGACGAGAGGGAAATATACATTGGAAACGCAAAGATCCTTGAAAAGAACTTGCAAGCTGATAATGGTTAGTAGTTTGACGCTGATATTCCTTTTTTGGCAGGATATTAACGTTACCTTTACCCTCTCAATCAAAGGTATCATTCATGTAATCGATAAAGTCTTGGAGGTTCCAATGGATGCCCGTGAGTTTTTTTTTTTTTTTTCATCAAATCGAATTATGGAAATGCCCTTGAAACAATTTTCTAACTTCGGCTTTATTTATTTTTCATCCAGTGACAACATTATCTTCGCTTGATCAGCTGCGGCTCTTTGTTAAATATCTTCGCATGACGAGACTAAGTGATCACATCGAGAATGGGAATCACATAACCGTGTTCGTCCCGACAAATGATGCTATCAACCATCAATTCAAATCATACGAGAAGGAATATTTCGTTGGCGAGTGTGGCGGAGGGCTTCGGGACCTAGATCTCCTTGCCAAGCATCAATTGCATTCTGACAATGTCATATATTCTTCATCCATTGAACGAGGTTCATCAAAAAGTATTGTCTTTTACAAATTTGGCTAAAAGATTTTTATGATATTTGAGATTCACCACTAACTCAAAATTACCACTGATAACAGTTGAAACCGAACAAGGGGAACCTTTGGACGTCGAACGCGATGAGGGTAACAATATCCGCGTCGCTAATGGTTTGATTACTCTAAAAGATTTATTGGCCGAGAATGGTAAGACTTTGTGGCGGGGTTTTACCTGTATCCATTCACACTTTCATTCTTTAACTCATAATCTATCATCATCCCAGGTGTTATTCACGTCGTCAGTAATATCTCTGCTCCACGTGAAATTTTTTTCAATGCCCACAAATATCTTTGCGGACTGAGAGCCACCAAAATGGTGGCTGCATTCCTCAAATATGATCATAAACATTACATCGAAAACTTAACGGCTCCTTACACGATCTTGGCTCCACAAAATGAATATTATGATGATAGCGTGATGGGACGCGAAGCTTCGACATATCACATTATAGAGGGAAAGTACAAAGTTACAGACTTGAAAGACAACATGTTTGTCAAAACTGAACTGAAAACTAAGAAGCTATTGAATCATAGACAAAGAACAAAAGTGTCGGTCAATCCAAAATGGGAGAGTGACGGGGTGACTCGCGTTTATGTTCGCTTTAATGGTGTGAGCGTTATGGGCGAACCAGGTACATCTGTTGTAATATGCATTTAACTTATGTTTTACCAATTAAATTTTATATTATGTTAACATTATCAAATTTTCCTTCTGGCAACAGTTGAAATCGGAAATTCCATCATTTATATATTATCCAAAACCCTTTCTCCACCTGGTGATGTTATGGCCTTCGCCATGCGCGAAAAACAATTGAGCGCCTTTGTTAGCGCCGTATACGCTAGCGATATGCTGCCAACAGTTCAAACCAGCGAATGGGTGACCATCTTTGCTCCGACTAACAATGCGTTTGTAAAGTTGGGACTACTCACCAGCTATCTGTTACATCCTGACGGTAGAGACGATCTTCGTGATGTCGTGGAATATCACATGCTCAACGAATCGGTATACACCGAGGATATCCCACAAGGTGAATCCAGTTACTGGACAATCGACGGTGCTTCGTTGAAAATGATTCGGGATGGTGATAAAATAAGCGTTAAGATTGCTAACGGTACTGCGACAATTGTTCAAAGTGACGTCCTCACCTCAACCGGCGTTCTTCATGTCGTTGAATCTGTGCAATTACCTCCAACGTTGCATATCACCCTGGGAAAGATTCTAAAGGGGATCGGCGCCAATACCATGATGGAGCTGTTCAAAATTGCGAATCTTTCCGAAATTCTAGATGATCCCATGGAACCATTCATCGTTCTCTCACCAACAGAGGACGCCTTCAAAAAGATCAACATCACAAAGATGAGCAGTGATCCTGAGTTATTATCTCGTCTGCTCAGACTGCACATCATCCCTGCGACCGATGACCTTGTAGAAGGCGCGGAATTTCCAACTTTACTGTCCAACAATGCCAAGCTAGTCGTGAGGAGAAACATACTACACGGCGGTTACGATATAGAAGTTAAGGGATACTATAGTTTAATAGATAGGGCAAGGATAACCGGTACTGGAAGGACATGGAACGGTGGCGCCGTTTATGAGATAGACAAGGTCTTGCTACCCGAGCATAATTCCGCACAGGTTGGGATGATGTTCTTTGGACTTATTGTCGGAACATTGTTAGTCGCCGTGTTCATAACTACCGGCGGTGGACTAGGGTACCATCACTATCGACAATATCAACGAAGGAGGGCTGGCTATGAACCGATATCATCGTAATTACCACAATCAACATTTATTAATAGAATGCTTGCCACGCCGACTTACCATCTTTTCACAACTCTGAACACTCGACATAGCTAAAAATATATAAAAAAATTTTTTTTCTTCGTTACCCTATCTCTCATTCATCCCAATTTTGTAAATACAAAAAAATCTATTTACCCTTATTTAAAAGAAGACGTGTTTCAACAATTTATGTCCGTAAATATAAGAGGGTCTCAAACAACAATTATTTCTATTTCTATTAATATCTTTTAAGCATTTTTATAATTTAATATTTGGATTTACAAAATGCATATTACACAGACACTTTTGAAGATTGTGCAACCCCCGGTTGCGCCGAGTAATTGATAGCGATGGTGTTCGAACAACCATTGTTGGTTTTTTCTTTCGTCTAAAAAAATTTTTTTTTTTTTTTTTTTTTTTTTAAATTAATTCTGCTATTTTTTTCTAATAGTACGTATTTTCATGGTTTGCCTGAATTTGCATTAAAAATATGATTGTTGGATCTAAATATTAGATATTTTGTTACTCTTTTAAAATTTATAAACTTTTATTTTTTTTAAAAAAAAAAATAAATAAATAAATAATAATAATAATTCAGTAAATAATACGAGTTTTTCGTGTGTTCTAGAAGAGATCTAAATAAAAAAATCTTCTGTGAAACTAAAACTGAAGAAAATATTCCTATCTGGCACATTTGCTTGACTGATATAGATCAAAAAGTGAGCAAACATTATATAGCTGAACACCTTAAAAGATATGGAGAGGTTCAAAACATCTATATATATAAGGTAAATACCAAACCTAGGATTAAGGCATATATTAAGTGGCACAAATATCTTGACCTTGATCCAGAAGCAAAATGGATGACTTCAATTGACACAGAAATGTCAAGAGCTATTTTCTCAAAATCAGAATTAAGTAATAAAGAAATTAATGATATTTTGGTTAAAAGAAACTATAACTCAGCATGATTTTTGGATACAAACAAAACATATACTAGTTTGATAGCTAGGACATTAAATAACACTCAAGCAAAAACATGTTATATACCTAAAGATTCCTTTATACTAAGAAAACAGAACTTTACAGTAATCTGTTTTGCAATAAAAGAAGATAGAGATAATGCATATAAACAACATATTTTCTTACAAGGATTGTATCTTTCTTGGAGTACCAAATATTTTACTAACTTAGAAAAAAAGAAATCTAAAAGAATAAGTAAAAGCCTAAGAGTAGTGATCACAATGGATCAAATCGGATCAGATTTTAACTAGATTCGATCTGATCCAGTTTTTATAAATACGAATCAGATATGGATCTGATTCATTTTAAACTGATCTGATTCGATTTGAAACTATAACAGTTTGTCTAATCTGATTCGAATTCAAATTTGATTCGATCTGATTCGAATCTGAATTTGATTTGATTTGATTTGATCTGAATCTGAATCTGATTTGGATTCGATGCAAAAACAATTTGAAACCGATTTGATACATTTTGAATCTGTTTTAAAGCATCTTAACTATAACTGCTTT